TAACGATCAAGGCGTCCATTTGCTCACTTTTCGGCAGCTTGTTAGTATTTATGCATCGTACACCGTACTAGCAATGCAAAATGCATTTTTTAGAGACTGCACACGTGTGTATGTGTGTTCGGATTTTTGTCTCGGGTTTTCAGCCCTGAAACCAAAAAAGCTAGAAAGCTGAAATTTTAGAAGAATATTCTCTGTTCATGTGTGACCTCGTAAGCTTTAATTCAAATTCCGCATACGCGAAAATCTCACAGGCACATGAGAGTTTGAGTTTGAGTTTTTTTTTTCAATTTTCTAATTGTTGGTATCTTTCTGATTCGGAACTTACATAAGATGAAAAGTTGAAATTTTAGAGGATATTTCCTGTCAGTGTGCTATTCTGGAAGATTTAACTTCCACGTACGTTCACGTCCTTTTTATGGACACACCAAAGTTCGGACGGGGAATTTTGCAGCACGAGGATCAAACAAGACAAAAACCGAAATTTTTAAAGAGAGTTCCCTGTTTGTAACGGGCCAGGTTCGGCTTCCACTTAAGCCTGTGGCTTATGTACGAATGCGTGAAATTTCACGTGAAAAATTTCGGGACTCGGAAGTCATATATAACATAGCTTTGTCAGGAAGTTTCTGGGCCATGTGCCATCCAAAAAATCTAGATTTGGCACAAAACTGGAATTTCTTGAAGTAAATATTGTTATATTAGTTCGAGGCCAAATAAGATGGAAAGCTGAAATTTTACGACAACGCTTCATGCTCACGTACAGTTCTGAAAGTACAAATTTAGCTTCTAAGCAGATCTACATTTACGTATGGATACGTAGAACTTTTGGCAAGGAAATTCTGAATTTAGGAATCTGGCAAGATAGAAAGCTGGAATTTTAGAAGCACATTTCTTGCCCGTGTGTGACCTTGGATTCTCAAATTCGGCCTTCGTTTTCGCATACGCCTCGCGCACGAACACATAAAACTTTATATTAGAAACTAGAGAAGAGAAGCTGAAATTCTAAGTCAAATGCAGGAAGCTGCGTCCTACGCATGAACACAAAATTTTTGATGATGACTTCTTGGGGACTAGACAGCATTCCGACGATTTTTTTGTACGCATAATTAGCAGCATGCGTCTGCTAGATGAAACTGCACAAAACGCATGATTGTACCGAATACCGTGGTGTGCACCACTATTTCTTGTTCAGGAGAGAAAAAGATGAGAAAACGGCCCCTTTCTGGACAAATATACTGATTAAATCGTTGCCCAGTGAGCACTATATAAAGTTCCTGAGCATCGGAATCGCACGTATTTGATGTGCTGAAATGCCCGGTTTTACAGGATCTCATCAGAAGTATCCCATATCATCGACTGGTTTCATTTGGTGCTTATCACAATGATTTTATGCTCACGATTGAAAGGGTGCTTCCACCACAGGCTCATCCTGAGGAAACTGCACGAGAAAGATTGACTTTTTCCATGCCTTCAAAAAATATCGAGCAGGTAGGTGTCGGACTCACCCTCTTGCTAATAGTTTTATAAATTTAGCAGTATCAAATTTTTTAATGCTTTTAAAACTAAAATAACAAATTGTTCTTCGGTGATGTTCGCCACCGAAGCATATATATATTCTTGATTGTCTGTTGGCTTGGTTCCAATAAATTTGGAATCTTTTTTTCAGCTCACTTGCCATTTGGCGGAATACATTCGGTGCCAGAAAATCATTGCAAAGCTTTCGACAAGAAACTCGTAGCGTGCATTTGATGGGTTCGCCTCTGTTATAAATTATTAAATCCTTGTAATGTTGTGCATTAATTTATGTTCACTTCACATCACACTGCCCCCCACTATTTCACTGAACTTCAATAAAGAGAAAACATGTTTATGTTGTTTGCTGCTGCTGTTGCTGTTTTGTATTTTTTTCTGAAAAAAAAAAAGAAATCCCACTAATTTTTTGCAGTTCCATAAAGGCCGATGCATTTTTGGGAGTCGAAGTGTAAAAATTTTTAGCATGAGATATACTGGATACGCTGCGTTTACGACATGAATAATATATGTATAGTTTATGAACATATGTTTAGTTTATAAGTAAATTAATACAATTCCAACAAAATATCCTAGAGATCGAACTACAACGGCCCGCATTTCTGGATTACTGAACTTTTAGAACAACAAGTTGCAAATGCACAACAGGAAAAATAACATACAAAAACTTAAAGACATCACACTACACTAACATATAGTATAAAACTTAAGGACATATTACGCTACATCAAAATATCATACAGCTTGAACCCTCGACCTTTTACACGACAGCAGTACTATTTAGTATTTCCCACCGCGTCATGCATGCCAGCGAATCCACAAAATACATTTAAAAAATAAGTATGAAAAAAAGTAAAACGGCAGAAGCCTGGGATATTTGCTGTTTTGGTCGGGAAGATTTATATTTTGCCCACTGGTTGTAAATTTAAAAAATAATTCAGCAAAAAGGCCCAAAAAATTGAGTTATTAAAAAAAAGATGAAAAATAAAGGAACCCTGGAGGACGATAAGCAGCTCCAAACTTCCACCGTGCAATAAATATCGAAGCATAGGACTACACTTCATTTCTAATCATATTATTTTTGTATTGGTGAGAACTTGAGTCATAATAAAGTGGAGCTTTTAATATATCACACAGGAACGAAGGGCAAATGGGCAAGGCGGAGGGGATCAGCCACCTCGGCTTCATTCCTCACTCGTAACGCACTTTCTTCCATTTGCAACAAATGCGGCAAATTGCAGCGACACGATCTGATAATACACGGCGATATCGTTTATATGTTGAGCAGTCCTTTCCAAACCAAATATATCCTAAAAGAAATTACTGATGAAAAACGAACTAAAATACTCAAAAAAAAAGTCGCCCAATCGCTTCTATTCATTACCACAAAAATATATCTTATAGTCTGTAGCTCTAGACAAGTGCATAAAAAAGTATTTCTGGATAGCCGCAATGTACTGGTTTGTGCGCTTGATCCAGCTGTAGGTGAAGACTTACTTATAGAAGCGGACTGCTGTTTCGAATCTTCCACTTCAGCCTCTTTTGGTGGAAGTGTCATCGCGTCCTGTGAAGCGA